TCCAAGCTATTTTTTCAATGTATGCAACATGATGGTAACTTGAGAGATACATTCGAAGCAGGAATTGATCTTGAAGATTTTTGGAGCCAGAAGGCAATTTCTTTTGAGAATATTCGGAATATTGCTATTCGATACCTAACTTTGTTTTTATCAACATATCTATGCGAGCAGGGGTTCTCGGCGCTTCTAAAAATTAAAAACAAACACCGAAATCAGTTGGATACTAGTGACGACATGCGTTTGGCTTTGAGTGGCACTGAACCATGGATTCAGGAGTTAGTTAAGAGAATGCAGTCACAAAAATCGCATCAAAATATATACTGTCTTTGTAATGTTGAGGTTCCGCAAAAAAAAAATATTGTTGGCTTTGAACAGTTTGCATGTAGGAAACCTATCAGTGAGAGTGAGTCGCTATTAGCTGGTATTTTCGGAAGTAATATGTCAGCGGAATTCACCAATCATATCATTGGTGAAGTGAGAACAGACGAAATCACGAAAGTTTGCCGTGAAGATGATCTGATTCTCAAGCTAGAAACTATGATGTTTGAGAAGTACCTCAGTAGTCAGGCAGAACTAATCAGACAAACTATGAGACAAATGGGTAGATTGTTGATGGAAATGCGTCATGGAAAAAGACAAATGAAGACATTGGAAGAAGCCGTGCAGCCTGCAAACTTCGACATTGTTGTATTAGCTGTTAAAAAACTCTGTTCTTCTTGTCTATCCAAAACGAGTACACCTCAATTTGGCATACCATCTTTGGTCCTCAAATTTGGTCATTCACTGAGAAAATGTGCTAACATAGAGAGAGGCATTGCTCTCAGAAATGGCCAAAGCCATATCAACAAGAAAATGGAATCATTCTTATCTTTAATGGACATTGAATGGAATATAGGAATATCATCCAATGCTCTCAATACATTATACCAGAGGAAATCGAATTGTACACAGTTGTTGCCAATCACAAGCGATTTGATTGAGTTGAATGAATATTCAAAATCTGGAATTGAGAACAATTTGAGAGAAATTCCTAAAAGGATAAAACCAACGCTATCTACTTGGACGAGCTCAGACATTTTCAAATAAACGCGCATTATTTCCAAACTGTGAGATATATTCCAAGGCCGTTCTTGCTATTCCTCCCCCATCGTGTCCTAGACCAAGCCCCATCTTCGATTCAACTAGCACGCATTCTTTCATTCAACAGTATGTCATCGTATCTTAACGCGTGCGCGAGATGTAATCTAACACGACACTGAGTGCGTTTGTCTGAACTGAACTATATGTCAGGTGAAATCTAATAGGGATACCAGTTAGTTACGTAGTTTATTTTCAATCGGAAAAGTTATTTGAATTCAGTTGAGTGTTTCAATTATTATTTACTGTGTTTGCCAAAAAATGTCTTATGAAGCTGAGCACCAACGTTTACAAGCACTTTGGGAATCTATAGAAGAAGAACGATATGATGCAGATGATCAATCAGGAGAATCTCATCTATCACCTCCTAGTTTGAATGATGGAGAAGCTGCGTCTGAGCATAGTGACCATGAAACAGCCACTGAACAATCATCAAAGTCCGATGATAATGATGAAGAAGATACCTTCGATATATGTCAGAGTACTGCTACATTAGTAAAGATGGAACTGAGTGGTTAGTTCATAAGGTGAGGAAACAATCAGGTAGAACTGCATGTCAAAATATAATCACGCAGTTGCCTGGTGTGAAAGGTGTTGCAAAAAATGCGAAAACCGTAATAGATTGTTGGCCTCTTTCCTGTCCTGATGAGATATTGGAATATATTACACTTTGTACGAATTAACAAATTGATCGAATGAGACCCGTTATAAGCACGAGAAGCATTGTTTGAATACTGATTTATCAGAATTGAAGGCAGTATTAGGACTTCTTTACCTAGCCGGTGTGAAAAAAGCTCAACACCTGAATACATCAGAATTGTGGAACACAGATGGAACAGCTCCAGCACTTTTTGCCGCTACATTATCGCAGCAGCGTTTTCATTTTTCACTGGGAGCTATCAGGTTTGATGATGAAGAAACAAGAGAGGAGAGAGCTGAAACAGATAACCTAGCTGCAGTGCGATATGTACTATATTGGTTCACCGAAAAATGTGTACAGCACTATAGATGAGATGCTCGAGGGGTTTAGGGGAAGGTGCAAGTTCCGGCAATACATTGCGAATAAACCTGCAAAATATGGAATAAAAATTTATGCAGCTGTCGACTCAAGAATGTTTTATGCCGGCAAACAACCTGAAGGCCCATTTATGTTGAAAAATGATGCGAATAGTGTTGTCAAACGTCTTCTTAGACATTGCAGTGGTACAGGTAGGAATGGTACTACCGACAATTATTTCACTTCCATACCACTCGCTAACGATTTATTGAAGGATCACCGCCTCCCTCTAGCAGGTACTTTACGGTAGAGTGAGCGTGAAATACCCCCAATTTTTTTGAACACAAAAATTCGCCAGGTACATAGCACTATGTTTGCGTGGGCTGTGGAACCTAGGAAATGCATGCTTGTTCCTCATATTCCTAAAAAGAACAAGAATGTCCTAATGTTGTCTACATTTCATGAAGATGCCGAAATCGACCCAGAGACTCGAGATCAGAGTACTGTGTTACACGAGTGAGCGATCGTTGGCCGCTAACGTTGTTTTGTTTCTTTCCCAATATCGCAGGCATAAATTCTCAAATCATTTACTTCACTGACACAAATGACAAAATAGCTAGAAGGTTGTATTTGTCTTAGTCAGTAAAGCAACTAACAAAACCCCATATTATGCGAAGATCCAGTTCGAGGAGTTTATCTGTTCCTTTGCAACAGAAAATCAAGAATGTGCTGAATGATCAGACACCAGATGCAGTACCACAAGCACATGAAGACCATGTACAGGGTGGGCAAAATTGGGCGTTTTCACTGTCGATCTCAATAACTAGAGGAGTTATCGAAAAACCTATATACATGTTCCGGGTTCGATTTTGGAGAAACCTCGAATGGCACAATCAAAATTTCGATATCTTCATTCGTTTTAGAGATACAGGGAGAAATTGAAAATTTGCCGATTTCGATTCTATTTTCTGACTACCTTACGGTGAGAGGTATCAAAAAATTTCAAACGTATATTTATACAGTATGATGCGTGGAATCCATTGGGCTCATCAGAAATTTTATACAGGGTGACGTTGAAAATATACGGCAGCCAATTATGTTTTTTATAATGGAACACCCCGTATATTTTGGCACAGTTGAATAGTCCCAGGCGTTCTCATTACAAATATATATATAACCCTACCTTTTCCTTCCACAATTTCAGATATATTCGCAAAAATATATTCAGTGTGTCACTTTTCTTATGGTTACACCCTCGTATCTTCTGTAAAAATAATTGAGGTAGGATTCAAAAATTCGCAACTGTCAGAAAGATACAAATGATACACTCATGGAGTCATGGACCAAGTGGGATCATCTCCAATGATAACACTGCTCGCCAGCAGCTATGGAATCATCGATATTTCTGGATAATGCTATCAACAGACAGAATCGACGTTGAAAATGACACTCTGTATATATTCACCAAATGTGGAAAATAAATATCATAGGGAATGTGATTTCCAGATAAATGGATATTTGGTGAGAAATAAAATGGGAAATTATTCGATTTGATATCATTGTTATCAAGACATTTGAGATACAGAAATAAGACCAATAATTTACTCAATTAGGAAATCAGTAGGTTGCGTTGAAAAATATAGCCTCATAGAAGATGTCCAAATTCCAGATACAGAACAATTTTTTTTATGGAACACCCCGTATATTTTGGCACCGCTAGAAAGTTCCCGTTTCAATTTCAAATATATATTTTATTTATTATCTCTTTGAACGCAAAAATATCAAGGCATACTAGAAATAATGGGTAAAGTATCATATTCAGGCATTCTGCCACAAAATATTATGATTGTTAATGTTTCCATCAATTATTCTTACAGAAGATACGGGGGTGTAACCATAAGAAATGTGACACACTGAATATATTTTTGCGAATATATCTGAAATTGTGGAAGGAAAAGGTAGGGTTATATATATATTTGTAATGTGAACGCCTGGGACTATTCAACTGTGCCAAAATATACGGGGTGTTCCATAAGAAAAAACATAATTGGCTGCCGTATTTTCTCAACGTCACCCTGTATAAAATTTCTGATGATGCCAATGGATTCCACGCATCATACTGTATGAATATACGTTTGAAATTTTTTGATACCTCTCACCGTAAAGTAGTCAGAAAATAAAATCGAAATCGGCAAATTTTCAATTTCCCCCTGTATCTCTGAAACGAATGAAGATATCGAAATTGTGATTGTACCATTCGAGGTTTCTCCAAAATCGAACCCGGAACATGAATATCGGTTTTTCGATAACTCCTCTAGTTATTGAGATAGACGGTGAAAACGCCCAATTTTGCCCACCCTGTACCCACAGCACAACAAGGAAATGTGAAACCAACATGCTCCTTCTGTCCGAAGAGGAAGAACCGTTTCACAAAATACTCTTGTGATACATGTCACAAACCCATTTGAGGGGAACATACAGTTGAAACTGTATCGATGTGTACCAACTGTATCGAACATGAATGGATGTTAGTTTCATAAATTTTTCTAAAGGATAATAATTTCTCATTTATTCTATTTCTGTGAATCACTGTGTTTTTATTTTTATTTTTTCAATAGATATTTATGGATATCTTCGTATTAATATCAGAAAATGAATAAATACCAGCTTGAATCATAATTACTTCAATAAGTCAATGATCTGGGCGAATCTCCGTAGGATCCGACAGGTTAGATAACATCTTACACGTCATCGATAGTGTGATTCTAGAGGGCGTCACCGATCTCGGGCTAGTATTGAGTAGAGTGGTCATTTCAATAAAACAAGGTCTAGTGAAACTGCCCGGATGACAGGAGAGCATTATACGATGAGGCCTCTTCGGGCTGAACAGTCCAAACGGGAACTGAAACAGTCTCTGACTGGCTTCGAGAAAGAACTCGCCGAAAAAATGTGCATGGTGGAAATAACTGGAAAGAGGGGCGAAAAGGTTCCAGTTTCATTAACTCCTGACGTGAAGCAGGCGATTCATTTGTTGATTCAGACGCGCAATATAGTTGGAGTTTCTAAGAATAATCCTTATTCATTTGCCAAAAGTGGGACCAATTTGGAATATATGGGAGGGCATGAATGTCTGCGGAAATGTTGTCCGAGTAAGATTTAAAAGCTCCGGAGAACATCACTGGATCCATACTGGGGAGATATGTGGCAACGGTAACCCAAATAATGAATCTTTCGGAAAATGAATTGATTAGCCAGGCACTTGGGACATGACATTCGTTTGCATCGCGATTATTATTGGTTACATGAGAGTTCGGTTGAACTCACAAAAATCAGTAGACTATTAATAGCTGTAGATTTCGGCGAGGCCAACAAATTCGCAGGAAATAAGCTTGACGAAATACAATTATCAAGTGAGTTTCGATTTTACCAATTGTTATTTTTTCCAGAAGTTGCTGTCACCAGATCACACATGTATTGTTGGATATCCTTTTGAAATTGCACCCAGACTGCAAAACCCCATTTTGAAAAATATGCAGTATGTCTCACTAGGTTGAAACCGTATGAAAAACAACTTTTTTATTGTTCATTCTAGAAAAAAAAATAATGTTCATAGAAATTTCTCATATCTGGAATACAATCATCAGATATCAAATTTGTTCAGAAAATGTGGATTGTACCCAAGAGTAAAGTGCCTTCATATTTGAAACACCACGTATATGACTGAAAACAATTGATATCTGATGATTTTATTCCAGATTTTAGAACATCCAGAACTATTTCCCTAAAATGAATGATTAAAAAGTTTTCCATATGGTTTCAATTTCAACGATACAATCGTTACATTTATATTGAATATTCTATTATTATCATTATCATCCATCTATGGTCAATGATTAGTAAATCAGATTCCGTAAAATTTCAGAAAACATCTAGCATTCAGCGTTCAATAGCCAAAGCTATCTGAGATGCATATTGCCTGATTCGGGATCTATATTATCATAAGTTTCACGTTCACGACAAAATCGATAGAGGTCGATATATTCGAAACATCTTAGAAACGACATGAGCTGGAGTTCCTCCTTCTCCTGAAATCGACAGCCGAAGCGATAACTTCGTTCTTAAAATTTTGGAATACATCAAAATTACCTTGATAGCTTACAGCCACCCAATATGAATGAGGAAATCAGATCAGTGTTGCCACATCAAATTCAGACAAATGATAAGTTTTCATCTAGCTTACAAGAACAAATGGGAGCAGGGTTGACAGCAATTGGCCAGATTTTGAATTCTAAAATCATCGAACCGGATTCTCCGGTTACATTAGACGATGAGAGGATACAAAAACTGGCTGACGCTGCATAGTTATTTGCAGCTACTTACCAAACAATTTCTGTTAAAAGAAAATTCGAGGTGCATCCATTTATTAACGAGGAAAGTAGAAATGCTGCACATAAAAGTGCAATCGATGAATTTCTCTTTGGATCAGGCTTCATGGAAAAACTGAAATTGTGTCAGACAGTACGAAAAGCAGCAGATGAAATAAAAAAAAACCAGGAAAATCACATATCCTATTCCGGGCCCTTCAGGGTTACAGACGCCTCATTTAAACTCCAAGCGTCCTCAGTAGAAGAAACGGATGAAGGAGAGTGGCCAATCATCGTCGAGAGATCACCAAACGTGGAGAACACCGAGCCGGAAACGAGATCAGAGTCACTCCCACTACCGCTTAAAGCACAGGAGCTCCAGATCCCGCAAATAGAGGTAAATATGCTCATTCCAGTAGATCACTTCAAATTGGAAGATCACAGAACAGCTAGTAGACTTATTTTCAGAGATTATTTTTCGACAAAATTAGATTTGAAAGACGCTTATTTTCTTCTACCTATTCATGAACGTTATAGAAAATACCTTAGATTTGAATTCCAAAATACACTTTATAAATTCAACGCTCTACCATTTGGCCTCAACATAGCTTCTTACTTATTTACGAAATTACTTGAGTCAGGATGTCAAATACTTGGGAGAATTAGTTGTGAGATTAGTTATATATCTGGATGATATATTGATTATTGGCAAAACTTATTGCGAGTGCAAAAAATTCACAGAAATAACCAGAGAGTTACTACAATCAGTAGGTTTTTTGATAAATTATAGAAAAAGTTCACTGGTACCTGCTAATGCAATTGAATTCTTAGGATTCCTTTTCAACACTTATTCAATGAATATCAAGTTACCAGGTGAAAAAGTTGAATTGATAAACAGTGGATTAACAGATTTGAAGGTATGAAGACTTGTAAAATCAGAGACTTTGCATCACTTGAGGGGAAATTAGTCTCAATTACCCCAGAATTTTAATACGGCTTCATATCAAACCTTTCGAAATTGTGAAACAAGAAAGATTAGGATACCATGGCATGAATTTTGACGAAAGAATGGAAATTCCTTCTCTTTCAGAAGAGGAATTCTCTTAATGGCTGGAGAACGTGACAAACTCCGGTCGAACATTTATTACAGAACCATACTCATTAGAGATTTATTCAGACTCTTCAAAATCGGGATGGCGTGCCCATACAAAAAATACTGAAACAATGCGGTTTTGGAGGTTAAAAGGAAAAGGAAACACATAAATTACTTGAAATTATTGGCGGCACTTAACGGCCTAGAATCTCTAGCTGAAAATCAAAGAGACTGTAATATATTGCTTCGTATTGATAATATAACTGCGATAGCATGCATCACTAAGATGGGTAGTGTAAAACATAGAAATCCTAATAAAGTTGCTAGAGATATTTGGAACTGGTGTGAATTCAGGAATACTTATGTGTTTGCTTCTTATATAAATACCTCATATAACGTAAGGGCAGATATTTTGTCAAGGTCAAAATTCGAAAACGTAGAATTTGAACTAAGTGTCAGTGCCTTTCAGAAAATTGTAGACCGATATGGGGAACCAGAGATAGATCTTTTTGCATCCAGAAGTAATGCAAAGTGCTCTAGATTCGTCTCTTGGTATCCTAACCCACATTGTCTAGCAGTGGATGCTTTCACAATAGATTGGCAAGGGCAATATTTTTATGCTTTTCCACCGTTTTCACTGATAATCAGAGTGTTACAAAAAATACGGGAAGACAGGGCTACAGGCATTCTTGTAGTACCTTATTGACCGTGTTACCCCACATTTCTTGATTTTTTGTCAGAAGAACCATTGATTTTTTATCCAAATGGAAAATTACTGTATTCCCCTTTCAGAAAGCCACATCCACTGCACAAGACCCTTTCCCTGGTGGTAGGAAAATTGTGTGGGAGGCACTGAAGTATTTCAGAAAGAAACGTCAAAGCAATACACCACTGTTTATAAGAAATGGTGGAACTACTGTGCTGGAAGGAAGTATAATCCATTTGAGTATTCATTGAATAACATTTCAGATTTCTTGCTACAAATTCTAGATAGTGGACTTTCATATGCGTCACTAAATACCTCAAGGCCAGGTTTGGCATTGATATTCAATATAAAATCGGATTATGAAAAAATAATGAATCGTTTTCTGAAGGAGGCATACAATTAAAACCCTTCAACTCCCAAATACTCTACCACATGGGATCCGAGTAAGGTCTTAGATTATCTAGAAAACCTTCATTCTTCAGAATCACTATCATTGAAAGAATTATCTCAGAAACTAACTATTCTATTAGCTCTCACTTCAGCTCATCGAATGCAAACTTTAACGGAAATTGAATCGAAAAATATTACACAGTTACAAGAGGGGCTGTAAATAAAAATTTCATCAACCATGAAAACATCGGGACTCAATCGGAGTGAACCTGTGCTTATTTTTCCATATTTCAGAGAAAATCGAAAACAATGTGTAGCATCCATACTGAGTTATTACATCGAGCCTGAAAAGGGTTTCAGATTCAATGATACTCTAATTTACCATATCATCCAGCATCTACTCAAAGTCTCAGTAGATGGGTTCGAGAAATACTCACTGAGAGTGGAATTGATACTGGAAGATTTAGTAGTCACTCAGTAGGACATGCAACAACGTCTAAGGCCTTCCGGTCGGGGTTGAATATAGACTTTATTTTGAATATTGCGGGCTGTACAAAAAAATCAAGAGTATTTAATACATTCTACAACTAACCCACTGTTAGTGATAGGGGCGAATTTGCTAGATGTATTCTCACCTCTGTGAGAGAGAATATTTCATAGACTGCGGTTATAGTTTTTGTTTATTTTCATTATTCCGTCCCTAGAGGGTTACATTCAAATAAATCCAAATGTACCTTATTTAAATGTTGTACATAATTATATTTGAAGCTTAAGAAGAATTTATATATACCAAAGGCAATGTATCTGAATAGATATACAGATTTATATTCATACAAAAGAGTTATATAGTGTTTATATTTATGATTAATTAGATCAGTTCAATAAAAATATTGAGCTATTTTACTTTCATTCCATTGCGGCTGTTTTTCAAAACAGCTGTTCTCTATACTACCTAGGTGTGTAGCTAGGGACATAGCCCGCACCCAATCGCATTCAAATTCTTTGAACATCTACCATAGGCGTATCCAGGGGAGGCTGCCGGGCTGCAGCCCCCCCCCCCTCCCATGAAGGCAAGTCTTAGGATAATTCATAATTTTTATATATCATTTCATCAATTTGGTACAATTGGAAGGTGAATTTGAAATGTGGAAAAGGGAAATGGAAGCGTTTCTTGGTTCATCTTTTTTGGCCATGGAAATGTCAGTTAATTGTCGTGAATAATTATTCCCAAATATATATATTTTATTGAGAATATTTTGCGTTATTCCGGTTTCAACGGCTTCTCCAGAAAGGAGTTATTTAACACTGAGACGGTTAAAGACCTATTTGCGCAACAGCACTGGAGAAAATAGATTAACCTCGTTATCTTTATTGAATATAAATTATGGGATTGGAATAGATATAGAAGAAGTACTGAATAAAATGTGCCAAAAAGCTTGTCGTTTAAACATTTGTTTATAATTTGTTTTTTATTTTGATTATTTTTTCACAATTTTTTTTGTATGATAAAATAGTCTGCATTCCGTAGTTTTCATTATAATTCGTTCATATTATAGATATTTTTCATGGTGAGGCAGCTTATGTACTTTGTTAAACTATTGTAAATTTAGTTTTGACCTATGTATAGATTTTTTGTGAAACAATAGAAATAAACTTTGTTTTAGCGAAGTGTCAAGTGAATCAGTGCTGCACCTCAAATTTCCGCCACACTCCCTTCCTCAGGAGAGAAGGGGTAAACAGGATTTCTCCACCTCACAAAAAAAAGCGAATAAGTGCAAACTCGCACCCCGATGCAAATATTTTTGCCGTCCGGACTGCCGACAAAAGAGAATACCCCCGTAACGTTTCGGTATGTTTAGGGTGAATTACGGACATAAATTGGGCGTGGATCCGAAAAATTGTTTCACCTGCGGCGCTTTTCTTTGGTCACTACTTTTTCTTAACACAGACCCCCCCCCCCAAACCAAAATCCTGTATAGGCCAATGACATCTACCAATAACTATCATAGAAGGACAAAGACGCGAAGAATAATTATAAGATTGATCCACTTACCTGTAAGAAAGATTAATCTCAATTATTCGAGCGTCGTAGTCCTTCTATGATAGGGCCCTCCTTACCCAACACCCCATGAAGCGATTGGTTCAGCGTGGTTCAGCTTACAAAATGAACTGACTATATGGCGTGTGTGTTATCAGTAGGTGAGGTCAGTACCCAAATTCCTTTGTCTTTTTAAACCGTTGCGCGAATTATGTTGTAGAGAAATGCAACCTTGCTGTTTCTCCCGAGAAGAGTGCTGACCACGCTTTTATCCAACTTCGCCTAGAAGAACCAGGAAAGCATCAGTCTGATTGTAGCATCCGTATTGTAAAGGTTGAACATAATAATTTTGTATTAGTTTATTGAATCGGTGTCGAAATAAATTCTTTTTAAAAAGGGTATTCGAGTATCGATAAATATAATTGGCGCAGTCAGTAGGATTCCGAAAGTCGTGCGTTCATCGAAAAACACTTCTGCAGTATCTACTGTTAATTCGGAATCGCGAACCATCGTTCCATCGAGGATCCGGAGGTTCATAGTTACGAAGGATTACTAGAAGCTACCCGGGAAGCAGCCCAAGTAGCAGCCCAAGGAAGAAGCCATCGCCACAGATAATGGTTTTATTGGTTTTATTGTGAGTACATACTCATTTATACGGTCAGACTCCTCTGTGCTCCAGAGTATCACTTCCTATAATATCCCCAACAATTACCTCATATTATACGTAAAAGCCAACAACAAAAGCATTCAAAATGCCAATTCCAATTTAAAAACCATTCCCGATTATGATGGGAACCCGATCGGACTTGTCAGATTCGTTAAAACAGTTTCTCAAATAACCGCAACTTATTATGACGAGGCAACCTCAGAACATACTGATTACTAATACAATATTTTCCAAACTGAGAGATTCTGCCCTTGAAGTAGTCAATATTTATAACGCTTCAACCTGGAACGAAATTCGAGAAACATTGATCCAAAATTTCGGCGATCAGAGAGATCTCAACACATTGATACAGAATTTGATGGCATTAAGACAAGATCAAGATTCCCCACAACAATTTTATTCTCGTTGTATACATATGCTCAACACAATCTGTAACAATATTGATTTCCATACACGAAACGAAATTGAGAAAGCAAGTCAACGCAATCTCTTTACAGACCAAACACTGAGAGTTTTCCTTACCGGTTTGAGGGACCCCCTCAGTGCCAGAGTTACAGCCAGAAATCCCACGACCTTGCCCCAAGCATTGACTATACTCAACGACGAAATCAATATTTACAATTTGCAGAACCCACGAAATAATTCGATTGTGAAATACCAAAATAACTCATCTCGCCCCAAAACTATGCAACGACCCACATATCAGAACCACCCTAAACAAGAAAATTTCAACCACTCATATCAAAATTTTCCGAGGTATAACTTCAACCCGCATTTTAACTCGAATTCTAACCAGAACTCGAACCCAAATTTCAATCAAAACCAACGTCCCGCTTTTCCTAGTGCACCTATACCTATCCAACCAGTCAATCGCCCACCTCAAAAATTTTTCACGAATACCCAGGTATTTGGTCGCCCGCAAAATGTCTGGAAGAATCCTCCAAGACAAACCAATAATTTTCGTCCAACCCTCATGAGCGGAATATCACATGGACCATCACAAACCACTCAACAACGACGAAACCCTTTCTCACAGGAATTATTCAGTACTGAACAAAGTCCTTATCCCGAAATTGAATACCCTGATTCCACCTGCACCCTACCTGACTATGAATGAAATTTACTTTCAATATACCTCTATGCCATGTGTGGATCTCCATGAAACATACTATTGCCAGTCAAACGACCTGCTCCTTGGAAACACGAGAATGGATTGTATATTCCAAATATTGAATATTGGCACCACCCCTTCCGGATGTTCACGAATTCCAATCCAGATCAGAAAGGACATCATTGAGCAAGTCAACGAAGCCCACTACATCGGAATATTCAAGAATTCAACCAGAATTTAAACAGTATGCAAGACCACAGATTTGGTGACCTTGACAGGGACATATCTGTTGTCGCTTCCCCCAGGATGTCTGTTCAGAACTCCAACAAATACCTACGTGAACGAAGCTACCGAAGTGCAGCAGCAACCCCTGCTACTGCCAGACTTAACCCTGCCAAAATATGCAGAATCCGAGTTGATGCAGCCCCTGAAACTTCGAGACATCCCTCTTGACAAATTGAACGGACTTCGTGAAGAAACAGAACGAATCACACCTCTGGATAAAATCACGCACACACCAACAGTGCATGCTTGGACAATTCCTCTGTATATTATCATCATAGTCTTCGCCTGTGTGTTTGTTACAGTTAAATACAAACACTTGCTGTCGAGAAGAAAGCCATCAAGCGATCTACAAGACAACCACACCGGAACATCAGACAACCCGTTTCCTTTGGAAAGAAAAACCATTTTTCCAAAGAAGAAATAGTTTTTCATCTTCGAGGAGAGGAATTATGTTGTAGAGAAATGCAACCTTGCTGTTTCTCCCGAGAAGAGTGCTGACCACGCTTTTATCCAACTTCGCCTAGAAGAACCAGGAAAGCATCAGTCTGATTGTAGCATCCGTATTGTAAAGTTTGAACTTAATGATTTTGTATCAGTTTATTGAATCGATGTCGAAATAAATTCTTTTTAAAAAGGGTATTCGAGTATCGATAAATATAATTCGCGTGATTCACAATGAATTGTACCTACCAATAACTATCATAGAAGGACTACGACGCTCGAATAATTGAGATTGATCTTCCTTACAGGTAAGTCGATTTATCTTATAATTTTAATGTGCTAATTTCATAACAACCAAATTGTCCTGATGAACCCAAACAAGGACTTGAACTTGAACTAAATTCTCATATTTTTAATTAATTGAGAACCTCGAATTAGAAATTATTTTTTGCCAATTATTGTTTTTATATCCCTTCATTTATTATATTTGTCAAAATATTTCAGTGACTTATGAGGAAGCTATTTCTGCAGAAAAAATTGCAGTGGCTAGTTCTGAATCAGAAGGAGAAAGAGGACATGGTAAACGAAGAAGCAAACAAAAAAGTCCTTAGATATTGAACGACCCCCTTCTCTCCCTACTACTCTTGGAAGTCATTATGTTGATTGTAAGTATTCTGTAATATGCAGGGTGTTTCAAAATTCAGTATCAAAAATTTTCAGGTCAAAGTAAGGCTTTTTTTATGAGTATGTATTCACAAACGCTTCGTTACTAATATACATCAGAGGGTCTTTATTTCTTTCTTATTCTTCAGGATATGTTTGGAAACTTGTGATTAAGATCAAAAACTGAATATGTAGCATTTTTTGTTTCAATTGTGGTAATAGGTTCCTCCCTTTTGTTAAAAATATTGATTAAATCCAGGGAAATTCAAAAAAACTAATTTTTTTCATGCGTATAGATTACAAGAGATAAAAAAGTTCACCAACGAAACAAATAATGCATTTCGTTTTTCGATATTTACCAGTGGCGCACCACAAAAAAGTTGATGAAGTGAAAAAGGTCCTGACCCTTGAAAAAATATTGCCATGTTGATTCTTTCCGATCACTCAACATGATGTATAATGTAAACTCTGAATTGTAACCTATAGGTTTCAAATGTAATCTGAACATCTCAAGAGTTAAAGGGGTTTCAGAGAAAAAAAAATCTTGAAATTTCAACCCTCTGTAGATCGATAAGGAAGTGTTTGCGGACACATATTTATAGGAGAAAATATCTCATTTTGGTCTCATAGGAGACATTCCGGTCTCTATCAGTTTCTACTCAATTTCATTGAATTTTAGGATCTTTGGGATCTTGATTCCTGAATAACTGATTAAACGAACAAAGTTGTCAAAAATATCATATTTGATAGGTTGTTTCTGAATGTTTATTGGTTTCGAGTCAGGTTGATAATGTGATTTTTGTTAATTGAACATAATATTCTGATAGGTATATAAATATATATTATTTGAGGCCACTGTACGAGTTTGAAACTCATTAAAACACTGCATTTTCTGATTATTTTCAATAGTGGAATTGAAACAAATGAAAATGTCTTATGTGAAAGGAAACTTGATTATTGACAGATCCATGAAAAAAGTATGTTATATATTATTGTGTTTGTTACTATCAGTTCAATATGCCATAACTTTTTCATCTTGGTTCAATAAAAGCTCACTTTTCTAGATCAAGGTTCTTCGAAATTAGCTGGAGAAGACAGGGAGAGTTCAATATCTGATTCATGATTTTAATTATATCAACTACTACAATATTTGATTATGATAACAAGCCATAAACATGAAAAAAATATGATTCTTGAATGTGTCAAAAAATCATACCAATGGGGATACTTTGCTCCAAGTGATATCTGGCGCAAAGTATCCCCCCGCATCTACTTCAAGTTGGGTGGCATAGTTTTTGCATGAGTAGCGCAAAGTATCTCGATCAAGATCTCGTTTTACTGACATATTTGTTTCAGAGATGGCGAGACAACACAAGATAACGTGTGGAGCGAGAAGATACAGTGATTACAGAGAATCACTTGAAGCATGTATGGCTGAAATCACAACTGAAAATCTTTCACATAGACAAGCAGAAGCTAAATACAAAATTCCGATAGGGACAATTTTCAATGAATTGAATGGAAAACACCCGAAAAATATTGGAAAACAACCCGTGTCCAATAATTCCAATGAAGAAAATCAATTTGAGAGGTGCATAATCTCCATGGGAGAATTTGGTTTTCCCGTGGATGATAGAGAACTTCGACACATAATGAAAAATTATCTCGACCAAGCTGAAAGACAAGTTGAGTTGTTCAAAAATAATTTTCCTGGGCGAGAATGGATAAGGTCATTTCTAGAGCGACATCCGAGGCTCTCTGAGAGGTTTGCAGAGAATGTAAAAAGTACAAGAGCTGCAGTAGACGAAACCACTCTAAGGGCATTTATTGAAAATTAACGAGAATAATAAAGAGACGTTCCGCCATCAAATATTCGGAACTTTGACGAGACGAATCTTGTGGACGAACCAGGAAAAAAGAAGGTTTTAGTTAGAAAAAATGCGTCAAAAGTTTCCGTTTCGGTTATGTTTCCTGAAAATGCTGCTGGAGAACTTCTTCCGCCCTATGTCGGTTATCGGGCTCAACATATGTGGACCACGTGGTCAGAAAATGGTCCAAAAGTTTGCAGGTATAATACTAGCCCTAGTGGCTCACCGACTGGCTCAAAAATCGAATGGTGACTCGATTAAAGAAATTGTAAGGTAAAAATAATTTGTAACAATCTCTCGTCCTCCATAACTGTAGACGCGCTTTTGTCGTGGTAATGAAATAACTTTTATATGCCTACCTCTACACACTCAACACAGCCACTTGATGTGGCCATGTTTGGACTGCTGAAAATTGCCTGGAAGCAGGTGCTCTCTGACTGGAAAGATACTCCCCAAGGCATCAGCAGCATTTCAATTCAGAAGCAACAGTTTCCACCATCACTTAATCAGATGCCACAAATTCTTATACCAAACGTTGCTAACAACTTGAAATCTGGTTCACGAAAATGCGGCATTTATCCAGTGGATGTGGAAATACTCCTGAACCGCATTCCTAAAAATACTTGCGATCCAATTGAAGTTCACTAAGTCTTCCTGCAAAATCTAGAAGCTAGAAGACCTGATTCAACCAAGGTTGTTCAGACACGTAAAAAAAAACTAAACGTTCCTGCAGGAAAAAGCGTATGCATTGAAGCGGAAAACAGTGATGATGATATACGATTGCCTGCTGATCCTACGACTTCAGCAAGATCAAAGAATAAAACCTGTTCAGATATGTTTTCTGATAATTCCTCGGATGACATTGACTTTGACGAAATAGCTGCAGAACATGGAATTGAACAAGACTTCATTGATTATATTGACAGCGGAACATCAGGAACAAGAGAACAATTCTCGGATGTTGTACGAGTTTTTTTCCATGAGAAATTGGGAGATTAGACGTTTCTTGTAATTTCTGAAATTGTCCTCGTTTTTGACTAATGAACGTATCAAAAAATAAAAAAATTGGATTGTATATAATAATATGGATTATAGTGATTTCACCAATAGAGTTAATTTGCTCCACAGACTGATATAGCATTAGCTAAAGTCACTTGAATTTGATGGAGCAAAGTTGTCCCTTCAATTGGCATGGTTTGCGCCACTTTTGATCAAAAAAATTGAAAACTTAGGGATTTTTTTTACCAAAACTCATTACAAAAATCTGTTCTATAAACTTGTCATCATCATCTGTGACAATTTTGAAACGATAAATATTTTTTCTACATTTTTTTCATTACATTTTGTTCAGTTCATTCTAAAAGTAGAGCAAAATAACCCTACTTCACGGTATTTTCTAATAGCATTTTCAATTTACTATCACATTCAGAATCAACCACTGACTGTGCAGTGTTAATAGAGTTCTCTTTGTTGGTTCCCTCTGGAAGATCATCATTTTTTCTTTTCTTGTTAGGAATGTTACTGAATCGCCTAGAAGAATTTTTTATATATTAATGCAATATGCAAACCAATTTAAGAGTTGAAAAGTGCCTAGGTTAATACTCAGATTTTTCTTGTTGTCAATAACATAGATATGGAAATCTCTATTGGAATAAATCTCGGAGAGCAAAATTGAAAAACAATCATAACCATATATCATTGAACTTACATTCTTGTTTAAACATATCTGTCCAGAAATTTCATTACATCTAAGAGTGCCCATTGGGACTTGGTTGATTTCTGGGTTGATTCACTGCCAGTAATATATTTGATTTTTTTCTATTTCCTGGCGAATCGTTTCCTTAATCTTGTGAACCGTGACAGTCACAGGCTGCAAAGTCAGGAATATTAGAATAGAATAGAATAGAATAGAATTTTTTATTCGCCACTGTGGTACATTATGTACATATGGTATGTCAATTTGAAGTAAAATATAAATAAACATATAAAAATCTAAATATATAAAAAATATCAGGATGAATTATATCACATAGTAGTATTAAGAAAGTAAAATAATATATTATTAGATAGGTAGATAGAATTTGTATAATATGATAGATACTAGAAATTTCACCCTTCCAATAGATAATTTGATAACAATTGATTGATATGATTTATCCATTCCAGATATCTTTCCACAAATGAATCATAAGTTTAGAATAGATATCATTTGAAACCTCATTTGTATGTTTTTCATGAGCAGTCATGAAAACCTGCCTGGTAGATTCATACCTGATGAAACTTCTCTCTATGAATTTTCTTTCATTATAGTGTCTTTGTAGTCTTTGTGGCTTTTATTATTGAGATGTGGGTAGCTCTTGACTAGATCAATCAATTGGTCATCACCTTGTTGATGAGTGGTTTTACGAATACATTGTAACAAAGATATTCACAAGTACATGTACTCTATTGAAAGTATCAACTATACGGACGCACAGATGTATCGGCATGTCTGTTTTTATTTTTATTCATCTATCGAAATCGTACAAGAGTTTTTGCTCGAGAATCGCTCCGCTTTCGTCCTCAGTGTTTTGTGATATTACTCAGCCTGTGGTTCAGTGTACCTGATATATCTAATTGAATATTTAAGTGGCCTATACCTGCCTTGTAGGTGAGTAATATTTTTATACTTGAAGTTCGTCCCTAAATCAGCTCCCCCAAGTTTGGCGCTAATAGGAACATTTTTTGTTTGCTTTGTAGTATTCATCGGAGCGCTAATAAAACATCACATATGTGCCCGAACGAAGCTCTTTTTTTTTTAAATTCGGCCCACCTTTCTCTGAGATCCGGCGCACCAACAACATTTTGTTACAACATCCATTATCTTGTTAGAGGAGGTCGTCATCATCATCAACATCAAAATCACCAAATTTTTCTTCCTTATCATTATAAGTATTGCTAGTGTCACAAACTCTATAGAATATGGTATTATGGATATAATCATGATCCATTTTGGGATTATCGAATCTGGAATGAGAATCAAAAAATATAATATATGATTATCATTGGTAAAAGACTCCTCTGGAATAGTTTTCGGTTTC